TTAATAAAGTGTTAGAAAAAAAAGAAAGAAGAAAAAGCATAGGTTTTATGTTTCTTTACAGATACTTAGGAACTGTCTCTCTACTGTTAACACTGCATAGACTCAGTTTGTCTCAAACCTAGTGTCCACAAATAGTCACAAACCTCAGGCACTTTAATTTTTTTCATCATATTTTTAATCCATGTGATAATGTTGGAGCTGTACCTTCACTAAGTATGCGCGATGACTTTTTGCTGACAAAGTTTGAGCTATTAAATCTTATGTCTCAACGGCCACTACCTCAGACCCCAGTGTTCCTCCTATGTGCTCAGCTGTCTTGGAGCAGTTTGATTCTGTTTCCTTGAGTGACTTGTTTATGGTAGTTCTGCAAATCTGATTGTCTTCCCCCAAGTCTGCTTAAAAATGTTTTTAATACTGTTGGGCCTTTTAATCAGAGATTAATGAACACTTCCCTTGCTACTAGTGATGTGACGGTTGCGAACGAAACTGCTCTTAGAGCCGGATCTTTGAAGTGAACGCCGGATCCTTATCTGATTGTTCAGTCTGACGTCACTAGCCGTGTCTGGACCTAAACTCTGCTGCAGGTCCATATATCAAACGATCACTATGGCATTACTGAGAGTTGAAAAACTGTCTAAAGTCTTTCATCTTTAATAAAATGATCAGCGTTCTGCTCTACCAGGTGTAACAATTGAGTTTAACATCCAGGCATCCATGAAAACGGAATTTATGACATTTAACGGAGTTAGAAGTTAGCAGGAAGTTAGCTCGCTAGCTTCTATCTAAATACAATATAGCATGTCCTGACTGCGGGGTTTTGGAAACAAATTAAAACGTACATCTCTGTTATCACTTCCAGCATGAATGAAGACAGAAAACTAAACAGCAGTGACGTTTGTAGGGTTACTGAAGTTGAGCTAGCTGGTATGTGCTACGTGACCGCTAGCGACACAGCTATGTTAGCATAATATAAACAAGCTAACTTTTTTTTCCAGTCGATAAAAGTTAACGTGAGTGTTCTCGGTGGTCAGGAACAAATGTAATCGCATGGCAGGATGCTGTAAAAGGACCAAACTTCAGCCAGGAGAACAACTGAGACAATCCATCCACAATACGAGGTTAGTCATTCATATACTGCTTCATGGGCTGGGCTGTAGTTACATCCAAAGGTTTTAAAAACTGAGCTTAAATAAATGATTAGCGGTAATAAAAGCCGAGGGAGGTCAACAGTGATCACTGACTGTTTTAGGAGCTTTTTGAGATCAAATAGAAGAAAATACATAACATTAAACATGGTAACAACACAAAAGCCATATTAAACGCAGAGTACTTTAGGCCTGGAAGTAGGATTCGTCGCGTCATCACTGAACAACCGGATTGGGAGCCGTGTTGGGTTTTTTTTTTCTCTTTTCTTTCTTTCAACCTCTCTCTTGCACTTTTTTTTCGCTTCACTCCGCACGGGAGCCTTGTGCTTGCGTTGAGCAGAGGGGGGAGTGGCGGTAGTTACACTCGCAGTAGCACAGGAACAGAGTGGGAGGGAAAGAGAGCCAGGGACAACAACAAGAGACAACATCATCACATTAGAAAAGTATAGTAATCCTCAACAATTATTCAGTTGGGGATGATAAAGGATTCAGAAAGTTTATTCATGCAGTGAATCCTATGTATGCAATTCCAATTCCATTTTAATTTATATTTTATTGTGTTGTGGTTTGCAGTGTTTTGTGTTGTTGCACTTTAAATTTGTTTAAAAGGAAAAAGCTGAAAATTTAAATAGTTAAAAGTTGAAATGTAAATAGTTTTTTGTTTTTTGTATTTTATAATTTATTTATTACATTTTAGTGAATAAATAAAAGTATATTTACGGTGGCCCCTAGAGACAAAGCACGTACAAACTCCAAAGCACGTGAAACCTCCAAAACATGTACAAACTCCAAAACACAACGGAAATGCTCCAGAAGCCTAGTGGCTACACAAGCCAGGAAGTACCAACGACCATACTTGGTATGTGGTAGTAACAGGCAAATGAACTTTTTTTTTTTTAATTATTTGAATATATATGAGTGTTTGTGTATAAATACACAAACAGTACACATATGCTTTCAATTGTGTAATTTAAGTGATGTAGGTAGCTCTGTTTTGGAAGTTCAGTTAATGTGTTTTGGAGTTTGTACGTGCTTTGAAATTTGTACATGCTTTGTCTCTAGGGGCCACCATAAATATACTTTTATTTATTCACTCCACATAAAATGTAATAAATAAATTATAAAATACAAAAAACAACTATTCACATTTCAACTTTTAACTTTTTAAATTTTCAGCTTTTTCCTTTTAAACAAATTCAAAGTGAAACAACACAAAACACTGCAAACTACAATACAATAAAATATAAATTAAAATATGCAAAACAAAAAGAAGATGCACATTTTCTGTCATATAGGCCAGGGATGATTTTTTGCGAGAGTGTTTTCCTGCTTGGAATTGCATACATAGGATTCACTGCATGAATAAACTTTCTGAATCCTTTATCATCCACAAATGAAAATAATTGTGGATGATTACTATACCGTTCTAATGTGACGTGTTGTCTTTTGTTGTTGTCCTTGGCTCTCTTTCTCTCTCTGCTTTGTCTCTAGGGGCCACCCTATATATTTATATATAAACATATAAATAAAACCACAGGTTTTTTTTACATTAGTAATTCCTTTTGTGCAGAATTTTATATTGTTGATGATAATAAATTAATTAAAGCAACAAAACAACCTGAAGAGCCGGTTGGGAGCCGAAAGAGCCGGCTCTTTTTAGTGAGCTGAGCCGAAAGAGACGGTTCTCTAAAAAGAGCCGGAATTCCCATCACTACTTGCTACAGGCTGTGTCCTATCATGCTTCAAACAAACTATAGTTCAGCCTCTTCTTAAAAAACACAATCTGGACCCAACTGTCCTGGCTAATTACAGGCCAATTTCAAAGCTTCCCTTTCTTTCAAAAGTTCTGGAGAAAAGGATCTATTTACAGTTGCAGGCCCACCTTGATCTTAATGAGATCTCTGAAATGGTTTTAAATCACTACACAATCCATCCTCTTTTCTTATCCTTATCAGGGTCACGAGTGGGCTGGAGCCTATCCCAACTATCACAGGGCAAGAGGCGGGGTACACCCTGGACAGGTCACCAGCCTAAATCACTGTCTATGCTGCAACAAACTCACAACAATGTTCAATTTAGAATTACCAATTAACTTAACCTCACCAATAATTTGTCTTTGGACTGTGGAAGGAAGCTGGAGTACTCGAGAGAGAGCCCACACAAATACAGAAACATGCAACATGCAAACTTCACACAAAAAACTGTGTTAACCACTGTACCACTGTGATGCCCATGTTCAAGGTCTATGTGCAGCTAATTTCAGAATTTCAAAAAAATTGTAAATGTTGGAATGCTTTTTAAAATTAAAAAACTCATTAACCTATTTTTTAATTTCTAGGTACAACATAGAAAACAAAAAATATATTTTACTATTTTCATCCCATGTCCAGTCTTAAGTGCTGTTGCCACTTTTTACACTCTCCTACTTCTTGTTTTTGATTCTTGTTAGAGCATTTACTTTTTTTCCTTCTTTCTTCCATTTGAAGACTATTGTCGTGTCCAAATTCATGGGCTGCATTCTCCTGAGGCCGCATTTGTAGACCGATTACGTCACAGCGACGCGCCGAAGGCTGTCCAAATTCGTAGACCCCTCCGAATGCAGCCGACAAATGCGTGCTCCTTTTTCCGAATTTGAAGGATGGGTCGGGTGTGTCCTTCGTGGCCCACCATATCCCAGAATTCATAGCGCGGCCCAGCCAAGCTCCAGTTTCCGGCTAATGGCGGCCGCTACTAAGTTTTAAAATTACTCTTATTAATCTTTCTGGGTCACAAAATAAACTTTTAACATATTTTCAGGCGAGAAAGTAGCTGTGTAAACATCAAATATCTGCTCGGTTTATCAAGATATCGCATCTTTGCTAAAGTGCTTCGACGTTTTCGGAGACGTCTGCTACCCACCAGCTCGATAGCTATCCGGGAGCTCGAGGGTTACTGATGCGGCCGAGAATGGCACAACTCCCGGCACATCATTTTCAGATCACCGCGGACTTTCGCTGCTCGGGTTAAACGTTGTCAGCCGGTGATCAGCTGATCACGGGGCCGGGGTTAAAAGAGAGACGCCACCCACCTGTTCGCCGCTCAGACATCATTCTCTTCGTGTCAGGAGCTCCGAAACTCTGCCGACGTCAGTCTCCGCCTGATTCAGCAACCGTGAGTGATTATCCCTTCAATCCTTTTTCTCTTCCCGGCTCCGCTCGCTCTCTGTCGGTAACGACCGTTCCGAAGCCACGCTTCGTGCACTGATCGTTACTAGAATAACTGCGTGCCTGCTCCAAACCCACCGCTAGCCTTCGCCGCGCTTGGGTCTAGCCAGCACGCCACACGGGCACGCCGAATTACTGTGTGTAACCCGCCCGGCCGTGACAAACGTAATATATAAGTCACTTAGACAACCTAAAAATGTTATTGTTGGGCTTTTTTCAGTGTTTTGTTTGTTCGTGAGTAAATCGGTTTGGCTGAGATTAAAGTTATTAGATTAGATAAAATAAAACTTTATTAATCCCCCGGGTGGGTTCCTCCTTGGTTTTTACACAGCTGACTAAACGTCAAACAGAAAACTGATTAAACAGAAGTGTGAGATGGCCGAGAGTTTACTCCAGTGTCCTGTTATATTTTAGACAGCAAGGAGCAGACGGCTGAGTTTATTAAACTCCACCGAGACAGCGGTGACGCTAATCAGAAGGCTAGACCGTCCAATTTCACGGCCGTTTACTTCCGGCCTACCCGATCTTCTGAGGACCCGGCCCACGTAGACCGCGAAGGCCGGGTCCTCAGGAGGATGCAGCCCATGAATTTGGACACGACCTATGTCTACATTTGTCTTTAGATTTTGTATTATTTCGTTGGACTTTTTTTTAGATTTTACACAATAAATGAAAATACATACACTGGGTACTAAACAGAATAAATAATTTGGTATCTAGTCCATACCCTAACTCCATTCATATATCCAATGATCATCCATTCATCCATCACCAGTTCATATTTTGACGAGCTAGTACTTACTTCACACCATATGTTTCTTTAATACTGCGATACGTACCTTGATAAAAGACACATGAACACAGTAAAAAGGCACATAACCATTTACACTGGCACAGGTATAAAATGACAAGCATGAAAGAGGTACACATATGTGCCTTTATCTCTTGATATCGCTAATTCAGAGTTTAAAATACTAAACAGTTTAACAGTTTCATAATAATTGTATCCATACATGAGCCACATCAAATCTGATGCTTGAGAAAGCAAAGTAAATCAATCTGGAGCTGTGAGTCATTTGAAGAAGCCAAACTGAGTTTGATTTCAAAGAAACACAAGTGCCTCTGATACTTTCTTCTTATTTACAGAACAGAGGCAGGAAAATACACACATAAACCCCCAAATCGAGAAAAAGAGTAAAACATAAATAATGTTTGCATAGCAAACAAACTATGATTTTATTTTCAACAGTACAAAACAGATGACTAATGTTAAGAAGTGAAGAGTTGGGTCCTAGCAGCAGAAGAGCAGTCAAATGACTTTGTGCTTAATTAACTATTGACAAATCAATTATTCACTTGGGTTAAACTGAAACGCTGAACACAGAGAAGTGGTGAGGGATTGGAACCCTCTGAAATTATGTTGATTTCACAATTAAGACTAGAATGGCACGAATACGACCTATATTTTGTAATAGAGCAAAATATTACACAATTACTAATCTTTCCCCTGTATAAATATAAAGAGATGTACCAGACTACCACCACACAACAGGTGAATATCTCCACCAACCCACAGCGTTTGGCTGTGAATCTCTGGAAAGGTAAGAAATCAATATATTTCAAGCGCAAATGACGTTAGAGATTCAAAAATGATTCCATCCATCCATCCATCTTCATCCGCTTATCCGAGGTCGGGTCGCGGGGGTAGCAGCCTAA